GAGAGAGAGAGAGAGAGAGAGAGAGAGAGAGAGAGAGAGAGAGAGAGTAGAGCAGCACAGAGAGGGAGGTAGAGGCAGCTTTACTAGGAGAGTTTTATAGAGACAGATTGAAGAGAGAACAAACTAGACACAGGAAAAGACAGAATGAGCAAGAGAAGGAGCCAGATTAGAAAAGATTGATAGAGTTAGTTTGAGGCCAAGCAGAGAAATTCAGAGAGAAAAGCCAAATTAAATCAGTCACCTGGGAGAGGACTTTGAGCTAGAACTTCTGAGTTGAACCAGCCAGGTAGAGTTCAGAAAGAACAAGGAAGGGTGAGCTTATTCAGCAACAAGTCTGCAAACATTCTAGGCCTAGATTAGATTGTACTGGATGGAAGCTAGAAGCTTCCAGAACTAGGTCTGGCAGATGGAGGCAATAAGTCTCCCAGAGAACAATTACATCAGGTGAATAAAATCTCCTTTTACATTACCCTGCGCTGGTTATTGCCCTCAGGGTACTCACAAACATTCATTTGAATAATTAAAAAAGTACCCTCTTGCAGTTAGTTACTGTAATATCTATAACTGTTCATCAAGGAGGTATTGCCGTTCTTGTCGTCAGTTATAGATTAGAAAATGAATGATAAAGGTACATAATATAGCTCACATACAAGGTCAGGACAAGCCCAGTTCTGTGGCTTCTTTTCTCTCTGTGTCTGGTTATTTTCCTTTATCCCTCTCTTTCTCCTTCCTACAATGGGTTTCTGTAGAAACCACTTAGCAATATAACTTATTATTAAATTACAACATGCTATTCTCCCAATGATATTGTGATGCCACTTTGGGAAAAATATCAGAGTTTCAGAGGGTGGGGGACCTTAATAAACTTGTGACAAGGAGAAGATACTAACTAGACAGGAAGTGGCATTCCGATGTAATAAGCTGCTGGGCCTCCAAAAGAGAGATTGCAAAGTGTCAGTAAACTGTGAGATATTCCACATGCATTCTACTGAGACAGGAAACTGACAGAAAAGAGAGGCAGGAAGAACGATTCTAACAAATAATAAAGCAGACTTTCTGAAGGCTAAGCAGTAGGCTGGAGCTATGGTAATGAGACCAAGCAGAACACATGGTATGAATAGCATCAAATCCCTGGCTGGCTGTTTGGAGACTCTGTGGCATACAGCTTGTCAGAGCGTCTGCTAAGATACATTTGGGGCTCTTTGTGACTTACCTCAAATGGGAACTCAATATTTAAAGGACTACCTACCCCCCCTTTTGTTTACAGCTAGTTTGGCAAACATTAAATATTTACTTTTAAGCATTTTAAAATTGAGACATTAAAATGTACATATTTAAGGGCCATCACATGATGCTCTAGAATGTATGTTTGCTTGATGTTTATATCAGAATAAGTTTGCCTGTATCTTCAAAGGGGGTTTACTATTCTTTCAAAATAGAGAGAGGAAAGACTTAGGTAGTTTAATACTCTTTTGAGTTCTGAAAGTAAGTCTGTGTTATACCACAGGTCACTAATTCATAATTTGAAAGCTTTGTAGGACACAGACGATGGCTGTATTTATTGCAAGCACCTGTGAATGTGGACTCCTCTTTGGGAGCAACTGAGCCTCCTGCAGGTGTCTCTAAATATATATAAATATAAATATAAATATAAATATAAATATAAATATAAATATAAATATAAATACATATTTTCATTCTTGGAAAGGAACTCCAGAATTTTTTGAGGTTCGTTAGATCAGTTGGTATTATATTTGTGTCTACTTTGACATAAAACTCAACGCCAGTTGAGAGAGTCTCCTGCTTAAGAGCGAGTGAAGGGTATATGGGACCTCTCTATATTTTTGCAACCTATATGATGCTACAATTATTTCTATTAAAACCTTTGGAGACTCAGACAAATGGTTCAGTGGTAAAGATATCTACTACCAAGCCCGAAGACTATTAAAATACTAGATACTTAAATAGTTTTAATCAATATTTTGAAATATGTCATGTTTAGTATAATGGTTTTAGAAGTTTTAAAGTTAAATCTCTCCCTCTTTTCCATTGACTGTTGAGCCTCAAACTGATCTAGTAACATCACTTTTCAATTCTGTGCATCAGAGCTTGAGTAGCCACACACAGTAGTATGAAGCATGTCATGGCTTGCATTTGGTCCCCTAAGAATCACATTGGCACTAATTTCCTCTATAATTCATTTTCATTAAAGAACCATAATAAATGCATGTTGTTCATAATGTACACTTGGTATATAGTCAAGAATGCCAAGAAAATCAATCAATGACTGTGCATGGCAAAATGGGGGCATTTCTGAAATCTAGAATTTTTGATTTTGCTAGGGGTCTTATTTGTAAAATTATGAATCAATAAGTTCTTCTCAATAAAAACAAAAATGAAAATAAAACAGAACATCAAAATGAATTCGAAAAAAAATAAATTGTAAGATGTATTTGTTATCAGTTATAGGTGAGTTATTGCAAATCTAAAGGATTTTTATAAATTTTAAATATATGTTCAACTATTAGTTAATATAATTATAAGTAGAGGAATTTTGAACACAGTGTTGAAAGGTTATTTTTCATGTAGGATCTTGATTTAAGCAATAATCATTTTCTGGTCAATAAAAGAGAACAAAATGATATATTTGTATATAACCATTCAGCCATATCACCAGCTCCATTCACCAGGTCTTGAATACGGTTGATTTGACGTTTGGATCCAAAGCCTATACTCTTTCTATATTGTTAGGCCTTACTAAATAAAATTGCTATTAGTAATATACCAAAGGCATAGAGTCATGAGGGTGATGTAGGTTTGTATGATGATATTTATGGCTGAATAGAGACCCAAGGTTGAGGTAAGTTTCTGTAGTGGCATTCATGGCTACGTACACAGAGAGATCTAAGCCAATCTGTTCTTCTTCACCAAGTGATGCCTTAAGGAGGCTTTGAAAGATGTCCAAATCTTTCTGTCCCCTCGAATGGTGAGTCAAATAAACCTTTATTCCTTACATGGTACACAGTTTTAGGTATTTTGTCACAGCAACAGAAAAGGTGCTAAGACAGTCTCTATCTACTCTTTCTTTAAAAACC